GAGACATGTATCACCCTTATTTCAAAAGTTATAGCATCCATCCAATGAGGGGGTCAGAATTTCCCTAAAACCCTGGTTACCATGGCAACCAATCATATACCAGCTCCCAAAGTATAATACAATACTTAAAACCAGCCATTTATGAAGATCTGAAAAAATGAGACCTGTATCTCCCTTATTTCAAAAGTTATAGCATCCATCCAATGTGGAGGTTCGAATCTGTGAAATAGGCCCCTGTATAAATCATGGACCCATATAAGGCCAAAATCTGAGATTCTGTGGACTGATCTTTACATAAGATTGTTGCTTACATATTATAGACGTTTTCTATTTACACTTCAACCCTTCCTAACACACTGGTGACAAAATATGCACAAAATGACTCTATCATTCCTGAAAAATTGGCCTGAAATTGACACCCAAAGGGTATGTTTTATCCATTTCCATGGCAACTACTTAACCATGTGACTTGAAATTTTTATCATATATTCAATTAGCCCATACCAATATACCATAGCAATTTGGATACATTCCACTGAGTATTTTTTGAGTTCTAGCCTAATTTTATAGTAGGGGTCCAAATTATAGCCCATGGGGGGTAAAATGGCCACAAAATCTAAAAGCTGAAAAACTAGGATCTAATAATTCATGCAAATATGTGAAATCATACTAGCAACATGAAAATTTATGTCCCTTAAAATCCCACTGAACGCACGCATTTAGGCTCATTCTGACTGCACCATTTGAGTTATGAATGAAGAATAGAATTTTCTCAGGGATCAGAATCTGCAAACCAAATTTCGAACCGAAATTTCGAGAAAAATCGATCTGATGGTATTCTGATAGAAAGTCAAGAGTAGCGAAGGAAATTTTGATCCATCCATCCTTCCTTCCTATCCTATCCTATCCTACTATTCTATCCTATCGTTCCTTCTTATTCTATCCTATCCTTCCTATCCTATCCCTTTTATCCCTATCCGTTCCTTCCTATCTATCCTTCATATCCTTTCCTTCCTATCTATCTATCCTTCCTATCCTTTCCTTCCATTCCTTCATATTCTTTCCTTCCTATCCTTCCTATCTTATATGCTATTATCCTCTCTTTCTTCTCTATTCTCTCCTATCGTTCCATCCTATTCTGTCCTATCCCTCCTTCCTATTTCATCCATCCATCCATCCGTCCATCCATCTTTTTCTGGATGACTCGGCTTAAAAAAGTCCAGATCTGGAGTCTGAAATTGAACTTGTTCAATTTCCAAAGTCTAGTTATATTAGTTCTTTGTTAACAATTTCCATACGATACGTACATCAAGGGGATTTAATTTAGAAAATGAATAATCTTTATTTTTCAGATACAATATCAATGAGGTTGGCTCCCGGGGATTCAATACTACAGTTCGGGACATAAATAAATGACAGGTGGATTTGCTGAAGTGAGAATTTCCCATGTTAACAATAAGAGAATTTTCAAGAGGCCATACATCAGTGGATGAGATTATACAAAATGTGAAATATACAAATTTTAAGGGATATGTATCTAGACAATATTGGAAATTATGGGCTTTCAGACGACCATAATTAGGAAATGGTGATCGAAAATCGACCTGTCATTTATTTTTGTCCCCAACTGTAAGCCTATGTATTTAGTTTACCTTGTATATCCTTTTAACTTTGATAACATAAAGACAAATACATTAAGGAACCAAACAAAATACGTTTCGTTCATGAACCACGCACGCACGCGTTTTATTCATGTCCCGACCAACACCTATAAACAGAACATAAAACAGTTTCTCTTGATATTCAATGATACATTATATTGGCGTTTTTGCATCAGCACATTGGTGTTGTTGCATCATCGATAATAAACAGAGTGGTGTTGTTGCATCAATAGTGAGGAATTAAAACCGCGAATTTCTCGCTTCTTGATGATGCTACATGCATACTAATGAGAGTTTTTTTAAATATAGATCATGGGCTAACTGCACGTGTATGATTATTGAGCAACTCGTCCTAGAAATGGGTTTAAATTGGGAAAACAAAATATCGTACGAAAATCTATCACCGGAAGTCTGGCCATCTTGATGCAACAACACGGTGTTGTTGCATCACGATACCCCCCCCAGTGAAATATATCTTCATGTGATATTCGATCTATATCCTTGCAACCATGGAATAATCACTGATATGCTTAAGACCAAAAAAACTATAAAGAATGTTATTATTGAATACTGAGAATAAATTGTTTTTACATTACGGAGCTTTATTTCTACCTGAAAGTATTTTGGAACATATCTCTTGCTTAAATATTTCATGCAATGTTACTTTCAAAAACTTTCTTAGAACAATTAGTCCATCCTATACTTTCACATGTTATTCTCCATTTCGTTTTTAAAATAAATTGTGGGAGCTTTAAACTCTAGAAGAGCTTAATTACCAATTATACCATGCACCCTCTTTGCCCTCCGTCGCATTTTTCTTAGAATGGCCAGGCATATTTCAAATTGAAGAGTAAAGTCAGTTAAAGTGATATATAGCTGTATATAACAACGTATCTTTCACTTGATACTGTGATGTCAAGCTTAAGCATTCAAACAGTGTATTTTGTCCCAAGATACAATAAAGTACTGATTTCATTTATTTATCAATTCAGATGCCTTGGAATTAAAGTAAACACTTGGTATATATTACCAATATTATTTTTACCTATTATTGGTGGTACAATGACCAGGTTTCCTTTAATGTCTTTGGTCTTACTGTGCAGTTTGTACAAAGAAAATTCAGAAAGTTGCAGTCTTAGATGAAAAACTGGTGAAAATCATACTTGCTACAGCTTTTCCCATTTTCAGAAGCCAATAGATCTGTACTTCCACTTACTATGACGTTAAGTCTTCTCATATGTATTATTGGTGGTACTAACTGGATGCAGAATCAGAAATTATGTCAAATAAAAGTAACATTTAAGAGATAAATTGTTCTGAATAGTGCATCTTTCATATTTTTCACGATATCTGACAGGTTTTTTGTCCTTTTGCCTCTTTTTAAAAGTACATGCAGAAGTGAATATTTGATCTAGAGCTCTGAAACTTGGTAGCATTATGTCTTGGTATCTTATGTTTGGTGTCTAAAAAAGTCACAGATGTTGAGAAAAATATTCATTAAGCAGCAGTTTCAGTTCAAAGTTAGTTAAAACTGCACTCACGACAGCTTTCTCTATTTTTGAACGCCGATAGATCGGTAAGTATTAGTATTAGGACCTTGAAACTGCTCATATTATGTAGTCTTTGTGGTACTTTCTCATTGCAAAGGTAATTTGGAAACACTGTGACTTACATTTATGCGTTAGTGAACACTGAAAATGAACCAGCCTATTAGATTTCATCATGATACATTGTACAAAATTGAAAACGTATATATAAAATATGTAGAGTCCTATATTTTAGTAATGAATGAATTACAATGTCAAGTAACAAGTGAAAATGTTAAAAATGCATTGATTTGCTTTCTATCAATACAAGTTTTTAATTGTATGCTGCAAAATGATAACATTGACCACGCCCACTTTCCAGGGGTAGGGTACTATAAAGTCATATTAAAAATCATAAATAGTACATTATCATTATCATAATTGCATTACAATATCAAACAAAGCTTGAATTAGTTTTTAGAAAACAATTTTGAGCTATTTAAGCTGCCATCTTTTGCTGGAAGCTACAAATATAAGATACGTGAGACTTAAAAATGACTAAAATTACATATTTTTTTTCTTATTAATTGCAATATTTCTGAGACTAATACAGATATCGGCCTATAACTTTAGGATATTATTCATCTTTGGACTAGTAATATGTGCTGTAGAAAACAGAACAATATCAACTATATCCTTTATGTTATGAAATAGTCTTATAGTACCCCCTGAAATTGCAGGAATTGAAGTCCAATTCGGCCGTGAAAATTGTTTTTACCACTTTAAAGGCCATCACCTTATATTTTCTTACACCTACTAGGTTACTCTAACATACTGCATTGCCAAAAGTTACTTCTTGCAAACTTCCGGCAAAACTGTGCCAGCATCTGATACATATGTGTGTGAGCGACTAAATCATTTATCTTTATCAAAGTGTTATTAACAGGAGGGAGATTATGTTAGTTCTACTTTCCTATCAGGTTATATACAACACTTCCATAATTCCATATTTAATCCCATATTACAAGCATTTCTTCTAGTAATTTTCAACTATAATTATTTTAGGCCAATCCTATCTTTCAAAATTTATCCCCAATCTTATTTCTATGACGTGTCGCAAAAAGCTCGCGCACGCATTGTTACACATTTTGTGGCGTAATCCAGAGGATCCTCGCTTTTAACATGATAGAATGTGACGTTTTTGAGAAAAATGTACACACATGAAAATCCTTTCGTCCTCCACATTTACCTCTATATCTCAAAACATTTTAGACGAATAACTCTGATATCATATATATATTGTTAATGGGCTAGGAGCATCATAAAACACGAATCAATTGATATTTTAGGTGAAATAAATATACGTGTTGCTGTGCTTGAAAATAGGCGAATGGCGTAAATTAGCCCTATTTTAATGAATTTTGAAAACCTTTCGTCCTCCACTTTTCCACATACAACAGAAAACACATACTTTTGTGAACAAAATCAACTATTTATTAATAAACTAGAGTTTAGGAGCAAAATAATCATGTATACAATACAATACAATACATGGGATAATTGCCAGATGTTTTGGTAAAAAACTCTTTTTTAAAAACGAACGCGCAAAAATGTGAACGGAGTGTAGTTGATCTAAAATCTTCATCGAAACAGCTTTAAAATGATATATAACTTTAATTAGAATATTATCTTATAATCCGGGAAAATCAAAGTTACATTCACGCGATACCCTTAAAAAACAAATGCGCCACCTTTTTGCGACACGTCTATATTTCAAACCCCCATAAACCATTTCCTATAAGATATATACCATGAATCGTGCTATTCTGAGTGTCTGGGAAGTTATTTTTTGATGTTACTTTGTAAACTGTTATTCTCAGTTATGTATTGTATTGTGTTGTTTATTATCAGTTATATTTTGTCGTAGAATGTAGAGTACAATGTTTGTCAGTCAGATTTTACATCAATGTTCCCCAATTTTACAAATACAGGGCGTTCAGTAAGTAAAGCTAATTTTGCTCTCAAACTTTTATTTCTTGTCTATCATTGTTCAAATTTTCGGTGGAGAAGCATCAGACACTTTTCTAACTATCCTGAAAAAATTATCAAGATATAATGAATAACAGCAAAATGGTGGTTGTCATAGTAACGCGAATACGGGTTCTGCGGAGCAATTTTATAAGTTCACAGCATAGTAGATTTTGTTAACGTTAGTTTCTGTCCTGTCTATATTTCAACCATAGTTCTGTGGCTACTCCACATTTCTACTTTCAAGTTAGCATTCTATTTCATGTTCAAAGTTCCCCTTAGCTTTCACACACAGCTGATGTCGTTCTATCCACTTCTGATATCGTTCTATCCACTTCTGATATATCCTGTGGAAGTCATCTGGAAAGTTCTTTGTCAGCGAACGTTGAACGGCATTCTGAAGCTCATGGATATTTGCGTGGATCTTACCACGCAGATCATTTTTCAAACATGAAAATACCCCAAAATCGCACGGTGCCTTGTCAGGAGAATACGCTGACTGGCCTTGAACCTCCATCTCCAGCGTTTTCTGGATAGTATCCTGCACCATTTGCGACCTATGCAACACATTGTATCTGATGCTACTTCTCAATTGTTGTTTCATTTCATTGTTCATTTTGCTTCCATTGGCAATCCTGGCAGCCATGATTTTGATGATGTCATGGAGCAGTGTCTGATGGATCATTCTGGATCATTCCATCTGTTGTATCATCTGTCTGTGATGTCATAGACTACTGTTGCCATGGTATCATATTTGTGTATGTCGTTGTTATGTTTGTCGTGACTTTCAGCCATAGCAAAGAAAGACATATGCAGCATTAATCTTAATCAATTTCATTGCATTATAACATTTTTATTAAAGTAAGAAATTGCTCCGCAGAACCCGTATTCACGTTACTATGACAACCATTGTTTTGCTATTATTCATCATATCTTATTTAATTTTTCAGGGTAGTAAGAAAAATGTCGAATGCTTCTTCACTGAAAATTTGAAAGATAAGTGACAAAAAATAAATGTTTGAGAGCAAAATTAGCTTTACTTACTGAACGCCCTGTATATTCATTTTACGAGTGCAATAAATTGAGTTATGAAACAACTATTTCTCTTGCCTGTGATAAAACGTTATAAAATATATTCTAATTGATAGAGTATTATATGTTATTGAAATATGACATGATATGTCGATCTAATCTTCTTTGGGTCGATAAATCATAATTATTATTGTATAAATGTTGAACACATGTAAAATATTTCATATTTCTTATTCCAGGCCTGTGTGCCCTGTGTGACCTGTGTGACCTGTGTGCTTACTGCCTGTGTAAAGCAGTCAGTCTGTAAAATTTATATTTGATAAAACATATTTTTATACTATTTTGATATTGAAAACAAATTGATTTATTGATATTTTAAATCTTATTTTGTGATTATTGGTTCAAGAGACTCTATGAAGCTATAATTGTAATCGACCCACATACACTCGCCCACTATCCTTCATATATTTCACATCTAATCACAGTAATCAGTAATTGTGAAATTAAAATGCATGTCTATTAGATGTTGTAATATAAATACGTCGGACTGATTTTTAGGCAACAGATAGTAGAACGCACACTTACACAGTGTTTAATTGGTTTTGCCCTTTCGCTTTTCTAAATCGACTCACGATGCCTTGTCTCAGTCGGAACTTAATGTAAAGATAAAGATTTAAACGTTTTTTTTTCAGTTCAAGAGATATAAAAAAAATTAACAGAATTTGATACTATTCAATTTGTTTATTGTTTTTTAATGTTAGACATAATTCTGTTTATGTTGTTTTGGTTTTGATTTTTGCAAGGGATGACTTGAACGGGGTTCATTAATGCATCATTAGAAACTCCTAAAATTAACCTAAGTAATTTCAAGTTTAGGACCCGGAGCCACTGGGGAGTATCGTGATGCAACAACACCGTGTTGTTGCATCAAGATGGCCAGACTTCCGGTGATAGATTTTCGTACGATATTTTGTTTCCCCAATTAAACCCATTTCTAGGACGAGTTGCTCAATAACTTTACACGTGCAGTTAGCGCACGATCTATATTTAAAGAAACTGTCATTAGTATACATGTACCATCAGCAAGAAGCAATCAATTCACGGTTTTAGTTCCTCACTATTGATGCAACAACACCAAACCGAAGATGCAACAACACTCCTCTAGATTTGAGCAATGATGCAGCAACACCAATTAATAGTATAATTTCAGAAAACCGTAAATCTCGAGAGGAACAATTTTTTAAATGCTACTATTGCAACACCGTTTCCCATTAGCCTACCCATATTTGCGTTCTTCTCAAGGCATTCAAAATACACGTCCTGCGGGCGAAGATCCTTTATATGTATTTTCAAAAATTTATACTTTTACATATTATAATGTACTGGACGTTGTTCTATAACATAGTTCAATGGCCTTTAACATGGTAACCCAATCTATTTTCATAAACCACTGTTCTATAGCTTGATGACCCTGACTCCAGTTAGTATCATTCAAAATGGTGGACAAACATCTTTCGTTCTCGGTAAACATAATGAGCTATTGGATATTATCTGTCATCCATCTGTGGAACAGTGATAAACTAGTAGATGCACGTTACCACTGTTTATCAAATTATAACTAAAACAGTTTAACTGTGACATTCGTGAGCTTATGTTGATGGATGATTGCTTCATCTATGATATAATATGATATGATTCTTTATTTCCTCCAATTTGGAGAGCCAGCGTGTAAAAACGTCTAATTGACTTTATTAAAGAGGCCGTTTAGTTACACGTTTAATGGAAATCTTGCACGACGCACATGTAGAATTATTGCTCTCTTTGGATTCCTTCTCTCCGACTGAGTAAAAAGGTAAACAAAAGTGATAAGATTTAGGGCTCAAAAAGGTAAATTGATAGGGGCACAGTTATCCCAGGTATCCCGGGCCCTCGGGAAATATCATATTGTCTCTCGGAATAAAACCAATATTGAATCCCTCTCAGTAAATAACCGTTATATAATAGCATTGTATAACTGCATGCAATATCATTAAACCAACACTTATCCTATACAACTCTTGAGAACGATGTATAACTCCTGGATAGCGTAAACTCCTGAGCAGCGTATACAACTCTTCAACTTGATATATGACATCATACTTTGGGTGGGATAACAAAGGATATACAATATACAATTGTAGACCTCTCTTGAGGTCAACTGGCAAAATTGTATACCGATACTTTAATCCTTGAAAGTTCGGAGGTCGAGGTCAACAGAACTCTCAGGGTTTACTGTTGAGGTATACACTTTGGCCAATACAATACATTTTGTTGCCCGCTCATCAACCAATCTGTATTGAGTATTTCAATTGAGGTACTAACAACACAAAATGACTGATATCTGTTGTCTTTCCAAAATTATATTAGTTATTTGTAAGCAATTTCCATACGGTAAATCAAGGGCATTTAATTTAGAAAATGTATAATCTTTATTTTTCAGATACAATATCAATGAGATTGCCTCCCGGGGATTCTGTACTTTATTTAGTTTGCCTTGTATTATATCCTTTTAACTTTGATATAGACAAAGAAACCAAACAAAATACGTTTCGTTCATGGACCACTGACTTACGCGTTTTATTCATGTCCCGACCTACACCTGTAAACAGAACATAAAACAGTTTCTCTTGTTGTTCAATGATACATTATATTGGCGTTTTTGCATCAGCACATTGGTGTTGTTGCATCATCGATAAGAAACAGTGTGGTGTTGTTGCATCAATAGTGAGGAATTAAAACCACGAATTTATCGCTTCTTGATGATGCTACATGTATACCAATGACAGTTTTTTAAAATATAGATCATGTGCTAACTGCATGTGTATGATTATTGAGCAACTCGTCCTAGAAATGGGTGTAAATTGGGAAAACAAAACATCGTACGAAAATCTATCACCGGAAGTCTGGCCATCTTGATGCAACAACACGGTGTTGTTGCATCACGATACCCCCCAGTGCCGGAGCACAAGGGCTTGGGAAAATTTATTCAATTATTTCAGTTGTGTTATAAATGGGATAAAGGGAGATTGAAATCATATTTAATAGATTCTACGCCATTTGTCTTCAATATTTTTATCTACCATATTCTAAAATTCCAGTCCATACTCTCTCCAAAATAGGTATAAACCTGGAACAATATCCAGTGGATATATTGGTATCCTGATTGCAAACCCATGCGTATGATTAATTACAATGTTCAACATTAATATTTACAAAACTAAATTCACCTAACTATTTTTAAACCACATGATTGTATTTTCAAATGTTGATAATATCACGCCTTACCATCGCGTAAGCAGGCGTCACCGTACAGCGTCAAAAAATAACGGAGTACAGTTTTCTGTACGGTAACGCAAATTAACTGCTTTGAAGCAACAACTATGACAAGGGTTTAAAAAATTAATTTGATGAAAACTTATACGATTTCATGTGAAATAAAAACAGCATTCTCTTAGAAATGGTTTTAACTTTCTGATTATGATAAACGTTTTACGAGCACTGTTCGGATTTTTTCTGAGTGAATCGGCCCACATAATCAACCAGAGTGAAAAAAGGTTGTTTTTTCACATTTTGTTTGGTTATTGTTTTCCCTACCGTCTGAGAGTATGGATTATTTTTATGAGAATATGTATTTGTTACTTACACATTTTAGAACAGGCGAAGATTCAGCAAACAACCATTTATTATGTATATTTAAAAAATATCAAATTTGTACGGTGGCGCACCAGCTGTACGGTGACGCTATGCTTTGATGAACTAAATGAGACTAAGATTGTATGAAATGGAAACTCTTGAGTATGATCATTTGTTCATATATAGTGCATGGGCGCTACAGTTCAACGATATCTTCCACAGCTTAATGGAAGGTTACTGGAAATGTATGATACGGTAAAGATCATGAAACCAAAAACTCTCTTGTTGCCATGTTATTGATGTTTTAAAACAAGGGATGTCACAAGTAAATCTCATCTTGCACCTGGACTTTTTAGGATGAAAGATGCAATATCTTGCATGGGGTAAAGATGGCTGTGTAGGCTATCTTTGTTAGTCATATGAGAAAAGCCTGTTTAGTTCAAATGATACCAAAGCATTACGTCAACTTTCAAATAGCTAATTCCATGAAAACTAAAAATATCGAAATTAATACTTCCTGTCCGCCATCTTAAATGCGAAGGTGACGGCTGTAACCTTCGCTTGATACTTACCAGTGATAATGTACATGTAGATCTGACGCTTCTTTACCTCTTGTTCGAACAGTAAGCTTAGAGCACTTCATAAAATCTGAGGAAGCGTCACCGTACAGCTGATGCGTCACCGTACAGTTCTGATCTTTTTTAAATAAATACACTGAATTATTATTTGCCGAATATTCATCTGTTCTAAAATGTGTAGATAACAAATACATATTCTCATAAAAATAATCCATACTCTCAGACAACAGGGAAAGTAATAACCAAACGAAAAGTGAAAAAAATACCATTTTTCTCTCGAGTCGATTATGTGGGCCGATCCAGTCAGAAAAAATCCGAGCAGTGCTCGAAAAACTTTTATCATAATTAGAAAGTTAAAACCATTCCTAAGAGAATGCTGTTTTCATTACACCCGAAATCGTATTTATTTTCATCTAATTAATCTTTTTAAAACCCTCATTATAGTTTTTGCTTCAACTCAGTTAATTTTCGTCACCGTACAGAAAACTGTACTACTGTATTTTTTGACGCTGTACGGTGACGCCTGCTTACGCGATGGTTAGGCGTGAATATTTCCGAATAAAAAGTTGAGCAAATGGAGTAAGTCAAAACCAAATAGCACGATTAATAAATATTGGTTAACTACGTATTTATTAGGTAAATATTTTGTGATGGGTACTATGAATAGGCAGACTTGGAAATACCAT